CTCGTTGTGATCCGATCCCCATATATATGATCTAAAGGATTGGATATCTTCTAATAAGTCCCCTGGGCGCCTTCAAAAGTTGCCGGCTTTTGAGGGTTGTTCGGGGATCTAGATTTATTTGCCGAATTCTTGAGTGTTCTCAAGAAAATGAGAGAAAAAAATCAGATTCAAATTGGATCATTGGGTTTTTCAAATCATCGAATCAAGATGCACTTCCCTAATTGGTCCTGACCATATCCAAGGCCAGGTGTAAAAAATGGAAACTTAGGACCTTTCCGATCGAGATCCGGCTTTGAATCCCCGTTTGGTTAACACCAAGATTCGGCGTTAGATCATTGATCAATCAGTCCACCTTGTTTTTCATTTTCTACGTCTTACTTGTACATTATAACACTCATTTTTACGTCTTTCAACACTCATTTATACATTTACATGTTCTATTTCTACATTTAGAGTCTTTACTGTACATTTGCATATTTCATTTGCAAACTAATACTAATTCTCTTATTCGGATTTGTCATTTCCAGCTATTCAATATCTTTTATTTTATCATGCAATTAGCTGATCTAATTATGTGAAACAAATCCTGCATGCCTTGCTTCTTTAATTATTCATGACAAGTGAGACATTATCATTCTAGTCATGAAAGGCGTAATCGAGGGCTGAAGCTGAATCGTCTGCCATTAATACCTCCAAAGTAAGGCGGTTCTCAACTGCTACTGGACTGATGAATAATGCAACTACTGGTACTCTGATTCTGACCATAAAAAAATAGAATATTTTGCAATTCCACAAGATAAACAGTGACCTTAAGATGAATTCTACAAGCAAATGTGTGTCTAAGAAGCAAGTCCTAGAAGAAGTCAGTAAACCCAAACATGCAACAGATGGTGAATAAAATTGTAAAATATAATACGTACACAATTAAAACCCCAAGGTAGTATCTCATAGTATTCAAGGAATCGCACATGTTACAACACTAACATATATGTTTGGGCAAATTATATTTTACCTTCCTGTGGTTTAGCGTTTTTTACATAACCCCCTATAGTTTCAAAAGTTATACATAACCCCTTCATGATTTGGATTAAAGTGTCAAAGTGATGGAAATAGTCACTCGTAACGGAACTTCTAAAAATGTTGAAATTACCCTTATAAATACATGACATATTAACTCCGTATGATTTTTATATTTTACCATATAACTCCTTTATAGTTTCATGCTTTACCATATAAATAGGGATGGCAATGGGGGCGGGCACTTGCCCTGCGGGGGGCCATTGGGGCGGGGGGCAATTTTTTCCCCTATTTAGAAACGGGGCGGGGGGGGGGGCGGGCCGTTTGCAAAAAAAAAAAAAAGATATATATATGTGTACATAATTATATATATAATGATATTATCAATTATACTATTAATTATACATGTCTATTAATAAAAGTTATTAATTATTTATACTAAATTTATTAATACAATTATATTAAATTCCTAACTACACTTAATACAATAACACTTTTTTTCTAAAAAACACAATAATAATTTAGCGATTGTATTTGTATCAAAATTCAAAGTGAAATTTTGATTAGTTTAATTATATTTGTTTTATCATATTAGATTGTATTCAAATAACTTTTGTTTAATTATTTTTATGAGTTTCAATTGTGAAATTACAATAAATAATAATTTGGTAATGTGTTGATATTTTAGTATTTGATTATTTGCTCAAATTTAATTATAATGAAATTATATAATAAAATTTTTTTAACCCCACGGATGCCCCCTCGGGGGAAGCTGGGGACGGGGGACGGGGCGGAGGGCGGGGGGAATTAATAGGCAATGGGGCGGGGTGGGGGAGAAGTCCCCCGACCCATCCCCGCCCCATTGCCACCCCTACATATAACCCCCTTATGGTTTTCAAAATATCCACATAACCCCCCATGGTTAATAAATAATTTTCAACTTTACATAAGGGTATTTTTGACATTTTAGGTGATTCCGTTACGAATGATAATTCCTGTCACTTTGACATATTAATTCAAACCGTAAGGAGGTTATGTATAACTTTTGAAACTATAGGGGAGTTATGTAAAAAATGCTAAATCACAGGGGGGGTAAAGTGGAATTTGCCCATATGTTTATTAAACATCTGACAAAGATGCATCTTGCCCATATTTCTATGTTTATTAAAACACATCAACTATAATAAATATACAAACGAAAACGCTTGTGACATGCACTTATTTCTGATAGATGACTATATGATATACTTGTTTTTATGCACTAATCCTTCAAGCATTTCTCCGTTTCTATGAGGATAAGAAAGGAGGGATGCTCTGCCCATATCTGAAAAAGTTACTTGGATCAACCTCCTGCTTCACATGGGCCAACCTGTAGAAATTGTTCTTAAAATACTTGATACCCCATACACTATTTTTTTTTTCGGAAACGATAGATGAATTTTATTACAAACAAGACTTTACAATATTTGAGCAGCGGCTCAACTACCTATACAAAGTGTACAATGACACTAAGGAGATACAACAAATCTCTCCTCATCCATGACTATGCTTGAAGCATAAAAACTAATTGTTTTACATAGAGCCATATTAGTAGATTTTTCTTCTTCAAAAAAGCACATGTGAAACAGATTTGCAAGAGCAAGTATGTCTTCCACCAACGTAGCTATATTCGGGTTGTTTCCCTTCCCAGTTTTCAGCAGGCCAATAAGTTGTTTATTGCCATTTATGACTTTGATCCTTTGCCAACCGAGCTGAGCTGCTTTGATAAGTGCGAGACGCACTGCTACAGCTGCATCTTGGATGTCCATATGTGAGCTTCTGTCCACAAGCGCCCATTCAGCTCTGATTCTGCTATCTTTCTGTTTGGACACAACCCCAATTCCCATCTTGTGACCCGATGATGCTTTATGTGTTGCTACATGAAGTTCCATCAGGTCTGTTGCCTCTATTTGTTCCTCCCCTTGGCTTGCATTTGTTGCATCTGTTTCTGATGTACTCCTAGCTGGTGTGACTCTACCAGCTTCATCAAAGTTGAACCACTCAGTGTTCGCTCTTTGCACAACTCTGAATCCATCCTTCACTTTCCCTTCGAATTCCAGTTCATTCCTGTCTTTCCATAGTTGCCACAGAATATTAGCTGTCAAAGCTATATGCTGTCTTCCTTCCTTTCTACTTCGAGCTTGAGTTAAGGCTGCCCACCACTGCCTAAAGCATCCAGTTTGGTTCTGTAACCCATCCCATTGAACTGGTGCGAGTTTCCACACCTTCTGAGCCTGAGTACAATGAAACAAAATGTGTTCCACTGTTTCTATGTGATCTCCACATCTGGAGCAGCATGGTGAGCCTTGTTTCGTTCTCCTAAAGATTGTTTCCCTTGCTGTTAAGGTGTTAGTGATACACCTCCATATAAATAGTTTAATCTTGCTTAATATTCAAGCCCCAAAGAGTTTTCCAAATCTGAGTGTTAGAATCATCATAGCTAGAACCTGATTCCCCCTTAGCTTGTTCTGCCTTATTCCTTGCTTCCTTCATTTGAAGTTGATAGCACGACCTAAGTGAGTATTCTCCTTGCTTACTATGGATCCAAAAATAGAAGTCTCCAGTCCTTGACAGGCTAATAGGTGTGCGCAAAATGTTCTCCGCATCCGCTCTATTGAATCTTCTGAAAATGACACTTCTCTTCCACCTAAAATTTGAGATCAACTCCTCCACTTTCTGCCCCTCCCCCCCCCCTCTGGCACCATTGTTGTTGGCTTTCCATTTGGATTGTTTGAAATCCACTGATCCTTCCATATGTTAATACTTTTACCTAAGCCAACTCTCTTCCAAATACCCCCCTTAACAACTTCTCTTGCAGACATTATGCTTTGCCAGAACCATGAAGAATGTTTAGGGATGCCACAGTTCAGTATATTTTCGTTGGGATAATATTTAGCCTTCAATACTTGACTGACCAACAGGTTTGGTAAGCTTAACAATCTCCAAATCTGCTTTCCAAGTAGAGCTCTGTTGAAGCATTCTAGATTCCTGAACCCCAACCCGCCGTCCAGTTTGGCCTTCATCATTTTATCCCAAGAACACCAATGTACCTTGTTGTGTTGCCTTCCTTGTTTGCTCCCAAGTCCAAGTCTCTATAATTCAGGTATGCAGCTCTTTGAAATTTAGAAACAAATGGAGTCATGTATTTGTAAAGCCTTCTGATCCAATCTATGTACACCTTTGAGAATTTGCATTCTTCTGTTCAGTCCAAGAAGTGATATGCTGAAACTGGTATATGTTTCCAGCTCTGTGTGGATATGGAGTTTCAGAGTCTGAAATCTCAAACATCCTTCCACCAGATGGTGAAAGGATAAGCTGACCTGCCTCAGCCTCTTCTTCAAAGAATCTTTTCCACAATCCTTCCAATGCAACTTCAGAGATGGGCTCCACTACGTAGTCTGATTTGTTTTTGTAACAATTTTTGGGATATGGAGTGCTGCGTACCAAATCATTCACGGTTGATCCAGTTGGAAGACCAGAGAAATAAACAGCAGACTCAATCCAGCTCAACTCCGTGCAGTCTTCTCGGCGTAATCCTAGCTCAGGGAAGCTTCAGTGGGAGAAGCTTGGCAACTGTTCCGAGGTACAAAGATTGAAATGCAGCTTGAACTGTTAATTTTCCATCCTGACCGCTCCTTGCCTGTGTTATCAAGACTCTGATGAGTAAGTCTCGATCAAGCTGGTATCCAATTTGTTGCCATCGGTGGACAAGCTTGGTTGCATTCTGTTCTAAATTTCTGTTGACTGTAAAAACACAGTAACTATCGATGGAACGGATACCAATTGAAGTCGATACTTGAGAATTACTCCAAAACTGGCTCCTCCTCCACCACTAATAGCCCAGAAAAGATCTTCTCCCATTGATTTTCTATCAAGAATTGCTCCATCCGCATTCACAATTTTAGCATCAATGACATTGTCAGCAGCTAGGCCATATTTTCGCGTCAATGTGCTTCTCCTCCCCCACTAATGTGTCCACCAGCTCCTACGGTAGGACACGTCCCTGCAGGAAAGCCAAGATTGGGATTCTTCTCAGCAATCGCATGATAGAGTTCACCAAGACGTACTCCAACTCCAATCCTGGCCGTTTTACTCTCAGTATCGATGGATATTCCACTCAGATTCCTCATGTCAACAATAACAAATGGCTGGTGATAAGAGGAAATAGAAGAAAGGCCCTCATAATCATGACCTCCGGATCTAACTCTGATCTGAAAGCCATTGGATTTCGCACAAATAACAGCTGACTGAACGTGAAAATCATTCAGTGGCGTTACAATGACTAAGGGCTTTCTTTCCATGGGAGATATAAATCTAATGTTCTGTATGGAAGATTGCAGAATAGATTTATAGGAAGAGTTTGGGACCAATTTATAGTAAGATTTTTGTGTCATTGTTCTGAGAATGAAGACACTGAAGAAATCTATCATGAATTTCAGCCCTAGTGCTCCACGGCATTGAGAAAACAAGAACTAATGAACAAAGAAAAATGTATGAAAGTTTGGTGCTTGAAGTAGTCTCCATTATTGGCAAGGTTCTTATGGTTTAACTTCAAGAATTGATGCACTACACTATCCTAAGTGCATGGCTATTTATACATAAAACTTAATGATAGTTTATGCCCCTGTTACAGTATTTACAGTTTTTCTGAAGGCTTCTTTTTTGAATGGATTGCATGCAGACAAAAATTTCAAGCAATCTAGTAGGCGACGAGATTGCCACCCCTACATCTACCTCCCAATTTCTAATGGTAGGGACGGCTTCTTGGTTTCTTGAGTTTGGTACTTTCCATTTCCTCCCATAAGACAAGTATTTGCTGAAATTTGGTACAAATTGAGATACTTATTTGGTTTTTCCACAAATTTGACTCAAAAATAATTAGCATGTGTTTTGACACCCACAAAGAGGAAACAATAAAAAGAAGAAAAAAAAACCATTCTATGGTGGCTCCAAAAAAAAAAAAACAATGATGAGAAATCCAAATCCTCTTGTATATACGCATGGCACAAATTTCACTCAGGTATAATTATAACCACAGTGTGAATGCCTTGTTTTTCTTTCTGTCATCATTGTATCCAACATTTTTTTCCTGGTTTTTGGCCACTCCCTGATAGTCTAATACCAAACTCATACGCTAAAGACTAGGAAAGGTCAAATCAGTGGCAATTGGTACCCCCATCATCAAGTTTTAGAAAAATGTTATAATAGATTTAAAGTTTTCAACTATTTTCACTTTTTGCGACTTGGATTCTTGTAAAAAGGACCTATTTGCCCCTCTGTCCACACAATTTTCCAAAATTTCTTGACTTTCACCGCTTTAAAATTTACAAAGTTTGCATCTTTATTTATAATTCTTTCTTTAAATTTATAAAATCTTCTCCTCTACGTAAGAAATCTACATGATTTAATTTTGCATGAACCAATTCGGCTACGTACATTTCAAAGGTAACATAGAGGGGGTTTTTTTTGGGCCCGCTACTTGTCCTTGACAGTTTCCCTTCCAAATATTCTTAACTTTTTAGGTTGAAACTTGGAAAATTAATTAGTAGGGACAGTCATCTTGGGTCATATATTTGTGTTTTCTTGTTCATACTTGATATAGTTGTGTAGTTTACAATAAACTTGGAAACATGTAATACATCTGTATAGATGTTTGATTATGTTAGTGTTGTGTATTAGATACAGTTGTGCGGTTTAATAAACTTGGAAATGTATAATACATCTGTGTAGATGTTTGATTATGTTAGTGTCGTAACATATGAGACTTTCCTTGAACGCTATGAGATTCTATCTTGGCCTTTTGTCTACATTTTGACGAATTTAGTTTGCATATTGGTGGTTATTTACTTCTTTTATAAGTTATAACTTACTTCTTATACACATTTGCTTCTGGAATTCATCTTAAGGTCATTGTTCATCTTGTGGAATTGCAAATATTCTATTTAATTTTGTGGTACTGAATACTTTTCTTGATATATGCGACCGGTACTCTAATCGATTTCAAAACCTTAAAGCGCCTCATTAGGTTGGGCACATATATGCAAAAAGTATACCTGGAGTTCTCCAAGGTTTATCCTGGTTAAATCCAAGGGTATGTAATTTGCACCCTTTTTGCTTTGGAGGTAGGTTTCTCTTCATCTAATCTCTCTATAAAAAAAATTAAATAAAAAAAAAGATACGTGATGTCATAATTTGCATTTGAATTTGACAATAATTTTTGAACACTTTCTATGTTACTATTCATGGATTGTTGCTCTCTTCACAGATGCATTTCCAAGCTAATTATAATGAGAATTTTCCTTAATCTTGGAATCATTCAGAATGGTACCATAATAATTAGTGAATACAACGTTTAGTTTTTAATTGTTTTTCCAGTGGAATAGACTATATACCCGAAAAAAAAATAATGTAGTGCCCATTTGGCCATTGACTTGAGTAAGCGGTCCGGATTTGCTATGTCTGATTGCATCTTCCTGAAACTTTTTTTTTTTTATAATTACAAGTAACTTAGAATGGACTAATCATTAAAGTATATCATTGTTGGTTAGAATTATAGGTGGCAAATTAATCCATTTAATTAAATTTACCCATACCTGTCCATGAATAGATGGGTATGAGTATCTTAAGTTTTTTTGCATATGGGTATAAATGGGTTACCCAATAATACCCATTATTCAATGGGTATTATTGGGTAACCCATCAAATCTAATTAACCTATTTAAAATTGTTTTCCCCTAAATCTCCTCTCTTCCCCCACCCATTTTTTTTTCAGATTTTTCATTTTGTTATGATGTTAACTACTTTTGTTTCATTATTATTATTATTTGTTGATTTTATTTTATCATTTTATTTTCTCTTAATTTGTCAACTTACTCATTTTTTAGCATTACCAATTTATGATAAGTTTTAGCCTCTTTTCCTACCTTTCCAAAATGAAATTTTAAATTTACACATGAAAAAAATATTAGGGGTTCAAAATTTTTGGATTAAGTTTTTATGTTAATTTTTATAGTACTTAATTCAAATTTTTATATTCTTATTATTCAATTATTAAATAGTATGTAATTTTGTGACATAGAGTACGGATAGGAAAAAAATTGACAATTAGGCTTATTGAACATTATAAGTAAATATTTAAAACTAATGATGGGTGCAAAGAGTGGTATAAATTGATAGCTTAGTTTGCAAAAATGAATTTAAATGAATTAATGTGAGGAAAACTCTGAAATGTTAATTACAGCGTTTATACCAAATGTTAATGTCTTGGCTAACTCTATATCGATCTTTCACATTGTGATTGGTTAGTTATTACAATGACACATCCCAAACTGTTTTACAACTATTGTGGACAGCCAAAACCAAAATTTTGCCTTATAGCAAAACGCAGTGATTATAGGAAAAAGTTTATAGATAAATACTTTTTGCATCTGTAGACTTTGCGAACACAATCCTAATTGCCTCGAAACCTTCTATCAACAGCTAAAACTCATCCACTTTTTCTGGTCAAAGTTGTGTATCTCTAAAAATCATAACACTCCAAGAAATGACGTTCATCTTGGACATTTTGTACCTGACAAAGAATGGTAATCTTATTCATTGAAAAACCCATTGTTTTCTCTTATACAATCGAAAGCTTATATATAGAATTAGTAGCAGACTATAGTCTAAGTAGTAGACTCCTAGGCTGACTACTAGTCTAAGTAGTAGACCACAAAAACCACAAAGACTACAAAGGTCTAAGTAGTAGACCACAAAGACCACGAAGACTACAAAGACTACTGTCAGGTCCTGGTGACAGGTGCCGAACCTGTGCAATAATAATAAATAAATCCTAACTACCACCTGAAACAGTCAGTAATCAATTCGAGTACTGGAGCAGGGACTCTAGGTGTGTAATGGGTTACTTGATTCACCCTGTTCCCGAAGAGTTTGCTTAATCCGATATACCTGAATTAATTATTTAACTGAATTCCCTAACTAGTAGACAGTGGTAAGCAGGGTCGTCTCCTCAGGGACTGGAGAGATATTTGTTTCTTTTCAAATCAAGATTAATGGGGGGGTTTTGGTATCAAATGCCAACTGAACAAATTAAATGCAGAAAATAATTAATTAAAAGAAATAACTGAGAGAAACTCTAGCCAAGGGTATACTTCAGAAATGGTTCATGCACTGATCATTGATGCAGAAATAATTACAACATTTATTAATAGATTGGTTATAGTTGTCTCGCACGCGCTAAACAACCAACCATTCCTTAATTTATCGATAGCTAAGGTACGACCGTTAGCTATTTCTCTAACCCAAAAATAACCCCAGGTACGACCGTAGGATTTAATTTCTAGATTGCATTAATAATTAGAAAGGCCCAATCCTAACTAACAAACACGCTACGAGGATTTGTTTAAACTAGATCGTATGCTCCCCTGACATAAACCCAATTACGCCAGTTGCTACTAAGATAGAGGTAACGAACAATTACGGATTCAATTACCTCTATTTAGCAAAATAGCCTATATGAATAATTAATTATTACGCACTAATCAATCATACACAAGGACTATAACAATTAAAAACAGGAAACATATGAATACCAATAAATGAAGGAAGCAATTAAAATAAATTAGATCTCACAGTAATTGTTGAACTAATTCGTCAGTTGTCCCCTCGACTAGAATTAGGGATTTAGTTTTTCATTAGTGAAGAGTAGGCCGCGCGTGGAGAATTGGGAAAGGTTTGCAATTCGATTCTCCCGCTTCGGTCCACCACAGGAGGAAAAAAACACGAGACTGTACTGCACCCGATTGTCTCTCTCAAGGCAAACGCGAGAGAGGGTCTAACGCCCTATTTCAATCCCGGTCAAAGCCCAGTGAAAAGCTGTCACCAAGGTCAACCGTTGTGGCTCTTGTTTTCTTCTCCCAATTGTTAAGTGGAAACATACGAGAGATTGCTTTTGTTTTCCAATTCAATTCACACAAGGTAGGGTAGCCAAAAGCAAAGTCAACAATGGCGGCTCCTTTAAGCTTTCTTTCTTCTCCCACATAAGAAGCATACGAGAGGTGGGAAAGTTGCTTTTATTCCTCAATTTGGTCACAAAACCATCAAAAGCTCATAGGCATCCCAAAGTCAACAAAAGTGGCTATTGTCTGCTGCCTTTCTCTCCACAAAACTGCGGCTCTCTACCCCTCATTCAAAAGCAAAAAAACTCCCCTTTTAACCTAAGCCGCGCGAGAGATAATGCAATCCCCCAATAGCCGAAAATTGTTACTTGTTTAAAATTGCAGCCCGACTCCCTAAAAATATATTAAAATAAAATCTATTACAATTAGGTTTCTTCAGCTTCTCAAGCGGGCCCCACGTCCGATGAATCTTCTAAAAGTTGAATTTAAGCACTTTT